TCCTAAAAACTCTCAAGCCAGCTTTTCATGACTTTTCAGTGTGTTTTTGTGTTATGTGCCATAAAGTCACGTGACTTGCAGCAACCCAAATACGATTTTCAAAGCATGCGAGACACACAAGAAGTGGTTTTACCACTTGCGACCACACGGCGAGTTTCCATGGTCAAGCAGGGATTTCAGCCTAGCCTCCTAGGTCCTAGTCCATCATTCTATTTACTCAGCTTTTCATGACTTTTCAGTGTGTTTTTGTGTTATGTGCCATAAAGTCACGTGACTTGCAGCAACCCAAATACGATTTTCAAAGCATGCGAGACACACAAGAAGTGGTTTTACCACTTGCGACCACACGGCGAGTTTCCATGGTCAAGCAGGGATTTCAGCCTAGCCTCCTAGGTCCTAGTCCATCATTCTATTTACTACACAGCACATGAGACACACAAGAAGTGGTTTTACCACTGTGACCACACGGCGAGTTTCCATAGTCAAGCAGGGATTTCAGCCTAGCCTGCTAGGTCCTAGTCCATCATTCTATTTACTACACAGCACAGGCCATAAAAATCTTGTATCTCAATAAATGTGTTGTTTTCTAACATGCCACAAGACTTTATCATTGATGTGCCAACTTTTCCTGTTTATCTCCCTATGAAGTACGTTAGGCAGCCTCAAGTTACTGGTTGAGGGTGACTGATAAGGCAGTGCTAGATTCTCGTATCTGAGTCTGGCAATTACTCTAAACAAGGGCTGCAGTTAACTGGGGTTTTACAGGTGAAGTCTTGGCATATTTTCCCAGTAAAAGTAACTCTGGAATTTAGACAGAATTCTGTATTTTTATTTTATGAACCATCAGTAGTACGTTGGTTCGCTGACAGCATCTTTTCAATTATGACACAAGGTTCACTTCATGCAGCTCCTGATCCTGCTGCCCTTAAAAAGCTGATTCCAAATGGCAAGCGAAGTATGCACTTAAATCTCTCACTGAAATTATGGGGCCTAAGAAGGGCATTTCCCCTCGGTCTTCTAGAGGGAATTCAGCTGAATCTTGCATATTCAAAACTCATTCTCCAGGAGCTGTACTGTGTAAGATGCCTCATGTTTTTCAGTGTCATATTCCTCTCATCAGATATAACTTCTTCCTTGAGACCTAGGAAAATTTCAAAGAAGTGCTTATTGAAATCTATGGCAGTTTTGCCCTTACAAGTACTTCTATGAAAGACAGAACTGGAATAAGCACAAAGGGAAAATGGCATCAGCTGTTAAACATAAGTTACAGGGCCCCAAAACCTTTTGGGTTGTAACCTCTTGGCTAAGCAAGGGAGAAAAATTCAGGAAAATAGAGTCCAACCTTTTGTTTACTTTCCTAAAGGTTCATTTAATAGCGATCAGGCCATAGTGCCTTCTTTTCGAAGGGAAGAAGACATTATACAGCATTTTACAAGAACAAGCAGCTTATCCCAATGGGCTTGTCATGAAAGAAGGGCCCAGCACAGCAGGTGTTTGTTCAAAAGTGTTCACTGCATTATATGGAATGCTATTTTATTCCTTAGCAATTGGAGGTCTCAGAATTCTCAACTTCATTTGCAGATATAAAACATTTGCAGCTAAAGGTAAATACTGCCCTGTGAAACAAAGAAAAAGCCACATACCAGTGCACCCATTTGCTTTGAAGCAATCTCATGCATTAATTCATTGGTAGGGAGGTGGAAGCAACACCGCTCTAGCCTTTACAGGCAGTGGTGGGGAACCAAAGGTTGACTCTTACTCCCACAATCCTTCACCTTAGCCATGCTAGTTGAGCCTTCTAGACTTTGGAATTCAACATACCTTAAAAGGCCAAGGTTCTCCAACTCCTATTTTGGAACAGTGCAAAAAGAGTTGTTTTTCTGCTCAGCAAAGTGGGCGTGGGTGGGTTCAAGGCAGAGGTTTAACTTAAACCCAGAGCACGCCTACCATGGAATTCCTTGTAGGTTTCATTACACAACCTGTTTGACTCTTTCTTGGTAGAAGTGTGACTAACATAAACTTCTGTATCTTTTCTGCACTAGGTCAAAACTCCCGTTTGCCTTTTGTATTTTAGTGGCTTTTCAATTTTACTCATTTATTTTATTTATAGCTTTATTTATAATCTTTCTCCCCGAGCCCCAAAGGGGTTTGCAAAATAGATAGGCAACAGATACACAAAATAGAACATTAAGAATGCAATTTAAACATATGACAAAAGATTAAAGTTAAAAACAAATTGCTAACAAGACAGATTTTTAAAAAAACAATAAACTGTCCAATCAGCAGCCAAAAATTTACCTACAAGAATCTTTGCCACCACTGAAAAAACAGCAAGGAGGGGGCAAAACCTAATATCCAGCAGAAGGGAGTTCCTTAGTCTGGGGTTGGCTACAGAAAAGCCCCTCTTATATGCCCACCATATAAATCACAAGGATGTCCAGAGCAAAGTCTTCCCTAAAAATCTTTAAAGGTGGAGAATCTCATAAGGGGAGATGTGGTCATTCAAAAAGCCTGGATCTAAGCTGTATAGGGTTTCATAACTCATACATAGCTGTTTGAACTGAGTCCAGAAACAGATCAAATTGTCAGTGGAGCAGTTGTAACCTTGGAGAATGACCCTGTTGAGAATGGCTGGTCCAGAGCATGTGACGATACTCCAAGTGTGACATAACCAAAGCATATGTCACAGTAGCTAGATCAGATAGGACCAATAATGGGTGCAGCCAGCAGACTAGTTTCAACTGCGCAAAAAACCTCCTGGGTGTTCACCCTTACAGATGAATGTACAACCATTTCGGTTTGGGTTTAGTCACTGCCCTGATATTTTGGTTAGTTTCAATACCTAGCAAACAATGCAATTTATCATTGACTCTATTGTTCTCATCTTTATGCTACCACCACTACCATGTTCTGGTTGAGGTGCATGTCAATTTGGGCATTCACACTACAAGCTCACACCATCTATAAACTTTGCTTTACCAATAACATAACGCACTAAAACAATGATTCTGAAACTTTCTAGACGATGCTGGACCTCAGTTCTTAAAATCTTTGATCCACATCCTGGTGGGACTTTCCAGGAGGTGCAGCCCAACAATATTTTGGGGACATGAGCTTAAGAATCTCTGCATTAACAAATCAAGAAGCTCCCTGTGTAATGGGATGGTGAAGGTAACTTCTGCTCTTTTGCTTTGCTCTTAAACATATTTTTTTCTCTCACCTACAGGAAAAATTTATAATTTGTAGAACCTCAAAGGACAACCTAGTATAACACAGAACACAAAACACAAAACTAGGCAGGAGGAAAGTTGACAGTTTAATAATGCCAGAATGAACCAGCTGTCTTTTCAATAGATATCTGATGCAAGTTTGATCTCTAAACACAGAAAAAATTGCTATCACTACACAGCATTTTGATTTCCAGCCCAGCTCATCTGGCTAGATTATCCCTCTCTTTCTTATAGGCACAGAGCAAAGTAGGCAGCATGGAACATGTGGTCCACTCCTTCTGCCTGTTTCTTCGTCGCCTTCATTTCCTTTTTCGTGTGCTTTTGCACAAATGGAACTATCAAAAATAATACAATCCTAGTTAATGTAGAATTGATATAGGATAAACATACTAGAACTACTATGTGTCTTTTAAGAAGTTGCAGGTACTTAAAAATGATTGAGAAACATCTTGTTCTTTAAAATTACTGTTCAATGTGATGCAATTGTCTACTTAGGACTCCTCATTATGGCAGTTGTCCACTAGAGGGAAGTGGCATAATTTGATGAAAATACTCAGCAGCATAGTGCATTGTGTGACATTACTGATAATGACACCAAGCATGATCTCCATGCAGACAGCAACATCTAGTGTTCAGTGAAGAGGCACAGTAATCTGCAAAAGCAGAAGTCATACCAAGCCACAGCAAATATGATCGTTTGGAGAGATGAGTGTTGTAAAAAACGAAATCAGCATGTATAGGACATATTTATAACAGCGATATCAAATAGAAGACTTTAAAGAATGCTATGCCCATCAGCAGAGACATCACCTTGCCAACAAAAGTCTAAATAGTCAAAGCTATGGTTTTTCCTGTACTGATGTATGGAAGTAAGAGCTGGACCATAAAGAAAGCAGGCTGCCAAAGAATTGATGCCTTTGAATTGTGGTGCTGGAGGAGGCTTTTGAGAGTCCCCTGGACTGCAAGGAGAACAAACCTATCAATTCTAAAGGAAATGAAACCTGAGTCCTCACTGGAAGGACAGATCCTGAAGCTGAGGCCCCAGTACTTTAGCCATCTCATGAGAAGAGAAGACTCCTTGGAAAAGACCTTGATGTTAGGAAAGTGTGACAGCAAGAGGAGAAGGGACGACAGAGGATGAGATAGCTGGACAGTGTCATCGCAGAAACCAACATGAATTTGACACAACTCCGGGAGGCAGTGGAAGATAGGAGGGCCTGGCGTGCTCTGGTCCATGGGGTCACGAAGAGTCGGACAACACTAAACGACGATGTGCCCATTAGCACTGGCTTTTTAGAACAGAATGTGTCACTCCTCCTCCCCCCAACCCCAACAACTATCCAGGTTTAAATGCAATGAGTCTAATACCACTCTAAATACTTAGTAACCATTATCTTCTTCACTTTCTCTTAACTGCTTGCGTTGTTTATTTTTGAGCAACTAATGTAATCATCAGGGAGGAGAGGGAGCTGTATTTATCTCTTTGTAATCAACTTCCTCTTCAATATTCTGTGGATTTATAACAAAAGCACCTTACTAATTTTCTTCTTTCATATGAATACAACTACTGAAGCATACATTACATGCACACAGACTACTCAGGTCCCTTGAGTAGTACCATCAGAACCATTAAATACCAATGGATTCCTGATCAATCTGTACCACATATTGCTAATGGTAACCAATGAGGCAAACGTGTAATAATTGACACATACACAGGATAGTGCTAACATGTGTGAGGGGATTATAAATAGGCGCATATACAAAACAAACAAATGAAATATTTATTTTTTTTAAGAAGTGAGTAGTGCTCATAAATGTTAACTAAAAGTTTTCATGTACTGATTTGATGCAGAAAATAGCATTTAAATTATTCCAGGAAAAAAAATCTTACATCATTAATTTTACAAAAGGAACTTGAGCTTTCAAAACAAAGTCAGGGTTGGAAAGTCTCTTGTATTATTATGTGCAGCCTTAGTATTTAAGGGGAGTAGAAGCCTGCGACTGGTGATCCAACAAGGATAAATTGTTCATGGTTTCAACCAACCCTCAGTGGAGGAGCAACCAGGACAACTCCATCTCCTCTGACAAACAGCATTGGAATATTCCTCTTGGTGGACTATGGAGAGAGAAAACAGCAGTGTTCAGGCTATGTCCAAGAAAAATGTGAAAATGATTGCAATGATTAATTCTATATGGATTACAATCTACAAGCCCAGACATTTCGAGAACTGTATTTTCTAGAAATAAATTTAAACTAAAAAAAAAGACAGCAAAAAACTCCAACATTTAACACAATGATTTAGCATCTACCTGAATTGTAATCTATTTAACATTATTCAAGTAAATACACTGATTTAGTTAGCAAAGAACAAGATAGAATTTAGATATAGATGACACTGCTTCTAAAACAGTGAATAAGATACTAGAAATTCTTACTTTATAGATTTCTTCATAGGTTTCTTCATCAATCTCGACTGTCGTCACAGTCTCTTCAACATCACCCAAAATCATATTTAAATGCTGGTCATAAGCCTTGGGAAGTGAACAGTTTACAATGTTTAAATATCTATTTTTAGTTCTGATGGCAATATTTAAATTCAAATGCAGTAATGCAAACGCAGACCCAGGAATACAGCTCTGCTATGAAGGACTTTCCTTCCACATTTCTTGCATTGTACCAATGGCTAATACATCTACACATTATTTATCAAGGAGAGTCAGCTGGAGAACTTAGTGGTTTAGGTATCTAGCTGTAAGTAAGTGTATCCTGCAAGCAGAGCCAGCCTGTATAGCCTTGGACAAGCTGCACAGTGCCATGGCACCTCCAGAAGTAGGGAATGGAAACCATTTCTGAATATTCTCTATCTGGGAAACCCTGAAAAGGGTCACCATAACTCAGAATTGACTTGTCAGAACATGATGGTTATTTATCAAGTATACCTCAAATATATGCTCTGAATATGCACCTCCATTACATGTCATTATGAAGGGGGGGAACCAAGAAACAGGATACAGGTGCCATATTAAAATAATAAACAGGAAAACCTCAAATTTCAAAATAAACGTGTATGGTGTTTGCCCTTGCAGCCCCTGCTTGTCTTTCCCTCACAAAGGCTCACATCGCGTTTTCTTCTCGCTGCTGCCAGTGGATTACTTCAATCCACAATATAAATGACGTTTGTCAGAACACTTGTGAACAAAGACAGAACTTATTTATTAAATTGAAGCCTATTGAATAATAACAGACGTTTCTCAGATACACATTGTACTTAAGCAAATCATCAACAGTTATCAGTACAGTACATACTACTTTTCTCTTGCTATATTATTACCACTTTCTCTACCTATTTTCCTAACCAGCTTTCTCTCTCTCAGTACTGTACAGTAAATATACTTTCAGTTCTGCATCATCACCAATGGAACACAGGAAATGGGCATGCCTTTGGATTGCAAAAATATACCAAAAGATAATGTGTCTGGACTGCTATTTCTATTAGATGCTTTAACCCTGAAACATCACATAATCTTTCAAGTTCAGTTTATCAGCACGCTGTATGTCTACATAACTTACTTACATGTAATCTGCCTCTAAGTTCTCGGTCATTCCTCATTTTCACGTAAATGCGTTCATCAAGACTAAGTCTGATGAGATCCAAGGGCTCTTCTACAGTATTGGTGGTCTGTTGCTAAAGGAGAAGAGAGCATATTCATAAATACAAATGGTAAAGCAGTAGATACCTTTTTGCTATTGTTTTGTTGTGCATGTTCTACTACTCTGCTTCATAAAATCACTGGATTCAAATGATAACAGCATGCAGGATTGAAAGATTATGATCACATTTTTGAGGAACATTGAATTATAAACAACTCAGCCTGTGAGCCTTACACTGCATTAGGAGGACCAAAGTAAAGAGTGGGATTTCAACAATGTTCAGCTACTGTTGATATTAGGAATGTGTCATTTGGAGTTCGTTTTTTAACTTCCAATTCTCTAAATTGTCCCCTTCATATTTTTTTGTACTTCCAATTCTCTAAATTGTCCCCTTCATAGATTGCTGCCTTGTCACGGCAAAGGGCCTTGAGTAATTCAGAGAAGCTATGGTCTATGCCGTGCAGGGACACCCAAGATGGACAGGTCATAGTGGAGAGTTCTGACTAAACGTGATCCACCTGGAGCAGGAACTGGCAAGCCACTCCAGTATCTTTGCCAAGAATACTCCATGGACAGAAACAAAAGGCTAAAAGATATGACGCTGGAAGATGAGCCCTTCAGGTCGAAAGGCATCCAACATGCTACTGAGGAAGAGTGGATGACACGTACAAGTAGCTCCAGAGCTAATGAAGTGGTTGGGCCAAAGCCAAAAGGGTGCTCAACTGCGGACAGGCCTAGAAGTGAAAGGAAAGTCTGATGCTGCAAAGAAAAATACTGCATAGGAACCTGGAATGTAAGATCTATGAACCTTGGGAAGCTGGAGGTGGTCAAACAGGAGATGGCAAGAATAAACATTGACATCTTGGGCGTCAGTGAACTAAAGTGGACGGGAATGGGCGAATTCAGAGGTCTTGCTCTTGGAAAAGACTTTATGGAAATAAGGTTGGATATCTTTCAGGCCAAGAACATTGAACTCATGACTTCCAAATGTTACAAATTAAATATACTGTACGACCCCATAAAATGAGTTATTTTGCAGGAAAGAGCAAGGCTCAAATCTGTCATGTTATCTGATCATGATCAGTCATCATTCCTTTTAAAATTGGTTCCTTCATATAAAGGAAGATCCAGGGAATGGATGTGAACTCATATGTGAAAGAGAGAGAGGAGGAGAGCAGCCAGGTAGAGATTCCTTGGAAATACTTCCTTGTAGAAGATGTTAAATTTTTAGGTTATACCCACAGTAGAAAGTTGAAATTTAGTAAATACGTATTTCAGCATCTTCCCAAAAAACTGTGAAACTGGCATCTTGTCGACTGCTCTCTCTGGAAACAGTACTTGTAATATACATCTCTTAATAACGTCTTGTACTCCAGCTGGTAGCAAGCAAAGCAATTATGTTCAATAGAATCTTGGGAGTTCTTTTTCACAGGCTTCATCAATTCGATGACTGGGAGGAGATGATTTGCAGTGGTAACCAAAAATGTATGAGTGTGCCTAATGCAGTCCGTGTTTTAGCAGTGTGTGTGTATACTTATATTCACATACTGCAGACAGAGTGACAAGAGACAGAAACTTCTCTGAGGGGCTTTCCAAACTTCCTTGTACCTTAGATACATTGTTTTCCCTAAGGGACATACATAGGACATGGGACTTTCATTTTACACGCTAGCAAGGTTATGCTCAAAATCCTACAAGGTAGGCTTCAGCAGTATGTGGACTGAGAACTACCAGACGTCCAAGCTAGATTTCGAAGAGGCAGAGGAACTGGTGTAAAAAGTTCTAAATACAATCCCAATTTGATATTTGAATATTCACATATATTCATAAGACAGTGCAGGTATGTACTTTCACTCTTCACAGATTAGTAAATACATTAGGAATGCACAACTCCATAATTAAAGGCATATTCTCAGAGGAATACCAGCTTTCTCAGAGCAGACTACAGAAGACTGTTAAATGAAATATAAATCTAAATGTGTATGTGTATGTACAGACAGACAAGGGCATGAATAACTGCTATATTTATTCTGTGCAAGATGCCTGATAGGTTTACTGCCCTTTCAAGACAACACACAAAAATTGCAATCTTAACAAATAAACTTCAAAGGGATGCAGAAGAATAAAGCAAGGAAAAAGGAAAAAGAAAAGAAAACTTCAGATTCTCTTACATTGACTGAAAGGGCCCCTGGAGAGTTCCACAGTATACGATTTCATCACTACAAAATATTCATATTTGCTATTAAGAACTGATTTACTTATATTTATATTTCTTACTGTCGCACCACTTTTCAGGCTGTCCTGGCGAGAAAAAAAGAAAAATAAATAAAGAAAAAACCCCAGGAGCGAAACGTGCTTAGGAAGGTTTATTGTTATGAACGTTCAAAAATAATTTTTAAGCCGCGATAAAAAAAAAAAGCACGGCCCTCAAAAGAAACACAAATACAGAAAGGAACGCTGCCCAAAACTGCCCGTGCGAAACTCGACACAGAAGCCGCGGTCCGGCACCAGCAGCCCAGCCCGTCCCGCTAAGCCAACAACGGATCACTCCCCAAGGCGACCCACCTGCTCCACCTCGTCCGCCATTTTTCAAAGGCGCCCCGAGCCTCTTCTCGCGTGACTTTATGCTCCGCCTGCTTTGTTTAAACCGCAAGGGTTGGTAGGAGAGCAAAGACTTGTAAAATTAGATGTACACGCAAGCGATCTCCTTCCGGGTTAATATACTGTTTTTGATTTTTTAAAGGATCTGCTGTGGTAGGTGCTCCTGGAAAAATAACAGAAAGAGAGAGAAACCGCCAGGATCTCGGAGTGAATTTTAATAAGGCGGCACCGTCCTCCAACCCGCCAAGAGAAAACAACAGTAAAAACTGTATCTATCTAACGTTTTTTTAAGGGGGAAAAAATTAAGGGATCCGGAAATTCTTTCCTACGTGCATGGCTATTTTTCTACATTAACTAGGCGTTACCTTGAAACTTACTACGTATGCACTGCTATATTTTGCCTGCATTGAGGCTGTTTTATACGGAGTATATATACCCCATTTATCCGATGACTGCTATTTGCAGCACGTTTTTTATGCCAATAAAGGTTATGTTATGCTATCTTTTCTTACCTTCACATTCAGCCCCCAGCATGGTTATTAGCTCTTGGCTTGGCATCCCAAAAAGGCAAATGATAGCAGGAAGGGCATAGGGATCGTGGAGAAATTATTTTGAACTACAACTTCCAGAACCCTCCAGCTAGTATAACTCTAACTTCAAGCTTGTAACAGGAATCTTGGGCTTTCAGTCCAAAACGTAATTTTTCCAAGTTATCGGCAACCCCCAAGTCGGACTGCCACCGAGAGCTAAGAAAATCTCTAATTAGCAGCTTCTGACAATTACATAGTCCTTAGGTGATATGATTCAATAATATGCACGTGCACACACCTCCATCTACTATATGCTTTAATTTTTTCTGGGTCATTGTCCTATGGATATTTTGATATTGCTATAACGATTGTTACTGTTTATTCATAAATGGGATAGTTTGTATTTTTGTTGCTTTTAAATCTGCTTTAGTAATGTTTTTACCTAACATTTTCAATGTTTATTTAATTCCTTAAATATTTGAACAATTTGTTGCTTTTAGCTTTTAATAGTGTTTTTAATGATGTAAGCAGCCTCTGAGAAAGGGGAAGTAAAATATTTTCAAATAATCTTTGCCCAAAATTTTAAGCTGTGTAATGCTCTGAAGAAAGCGCTGTTTGGACTTGCATGGCAGAATCTTATTTATACAAAGAAGTCCAGCAGTTCGGCTATTAGTATGTGTTTGATGAAATACTTGATGGAATACCCCTTCAGGGATTGCTGCCTTGTCGTGGCGAAGGGGCTTGAGTAATTCAGAGAAGCTATGGGCTATGCCGTGCAGGGCCACCCAAGATGGACAGGTCATAGTGGAGAGTTCTGATTAAACGCAATCCACCTGGAGTAGGAAATGGTAATGCCATTCCAGTATCTTTGCCAAGAAAACTCCATGAACAAAAACAAAAGGCTAAAAGATAAGACACTGGAAGATGAGCCCCTCAGGTTGGAAGGCATCCAACATGCTACTGAGGAAGAGTGGAGGACAAGTACAAATAGAGCTAATGAGGTGTTTGGGCCAAAGCTGAAAGGATCCTCAGCTCTGGACATGCATGCAAGTGAAAGGAAAGTCTGATGCTGCAAAGAGAAATACTGCATAGGAACCTGGAATGTAAGATCTATGAATGTTGGGAAGCTGGAGGTGGTCAAACAGGAAATGGCAAGAATAAACATTGACGTCCTGGGCATCAGTGAACTAAAATGGACAGGAATGGGCGAATTCAGCTCAGATGATTATCATATCTACTATTGTGGGCAAGAATCCCGTAGAAGGAATGGAGTAGCCCTCATAGTCAACAAAAGAGTGGGAAAAGCTGTAATGGGATACAATCTCAAAAATGATAGAATGATGTCAATACGAATCCAAGGCAGACCTTTCAACATCACAATAATCCAAGTTTATGCACCAACC